AGGCTGGAGTGCAGCCTCAACCTGCTGGGCTTGGGTGATCCTTCCATTTCAGCCTTCCAAAGAGCTGGAACTATAGATGCACGCCACAATGCCTGGCTAGTTTTGTTTTGTTTTGTCTGTGTGATTTATTGTAGACATGAGGTCTCACCAAGTTGCCCAGGCTGGTCTCAAACCCCTGGGCTCAGACAATCCTCTCGCCTTGGTCTCCCAAAGTGCTGGGATTACTGACTAAGCGACCACGCCCAGCCAGGATTACTCTTTTCTATTTCAAGGGCATTTTCTAGACAACCTACAGCCCCCAACTCAATTGGAAGCTCAAAAATTTAAAACTGGCAACAAACACCCTTTTTCTTGAGTTGGAATCTCACTCTGTCGCCCAGGCTGGAGTGCAATGGCATGCTTACGGCCACTGCAGCCTCGATCTGCCGGGCTTAGGTGATCCTTCCGCCTCAGCTTCCAAGTAGCTGGAACTACAGGCATATGCCACCACACCTGGCTAATTTTTTGATTTACTGTAGAGATGTGGTTTTGCCAAGTTGCCCACGCAGGTCTCGACCCCCTGAACTTAGGCGATCCTCTTGCCTCTGCCACTCGAAGTGCTGGGATTACAGGCATGAGTCACCATGCTCAGCCGATAGACACTTAAGTGATTCCTAACTCTCTGCAGGTATAGACCAACTAAGGGGCCCAACATCTGATTAAAACAGCCCAAATCAGGGCCAAGTGTAGTGGCTCATGCCTGAAATGCCAGCACTTTCGGAGGGCAAGGCAGAAGGCTTGCTTGAGCCTAGGAGTTCAGGACCAGCCAGAGCAACATAGTGAGACCTACAAAAAAATGAAAAAACTAGCCAGGTGTGGTGGTGTATACCTGTAGTCCCAGCAACTCAGGAGGCTGAGGTGTGAGGATGGCTTGTGCCCAAGTGGCTAAGGCTGCGGTGAGCAGGGATTGTGCCACTGCACTTCAGCCTGGGCAACAGAGAGACCTTGTCTCAAAAACGACACAGCCCAAATCAAACCATAATGAGATGTCAGCTCACACACATTAGGGTGGCTACTATAAGAGGCAAAGAAGATCGGGTGCGGTGGTTCACACCTATAATCCCAGCACTTTGGGAGGCTGAGAGAGTTGCCTAAGCCCACGGGTTTGAGACCAGCCTGGACAACTTGGTGAGACCTCATCTCTACAACAAATAAAAAAGTTAGCCAGGTGTGGTGGCGCATGCCCATAGTTCCAGATACTTGGAAGGCTGAGGCGGAAGCATCGCCCGAGCCCAGCAGGTCGATGCCAGTGCACTCTAGCCTGGGTGACAGAATAAGTCTCCGACTCAAAAAAGGTGGGGGGGGGGGGCAAAGAAGAATGTGGAGAACCTGGAACCCTTGCATGCCACTGGTGGGGACATCAATGGTGCAGCCACTGTGGAAAACAGGACAGTGGTTTCTCAAAAAATCAATACCACAATTACCACGCGATCCAGCAATTTCACTTCAAGGCATATATCTAAAAGAAAGCACCTATGTTCCTAGCATTATTTGCAACAGCCAAAAGGTGGAGGTAACCCAAGTGTCCATCAGCAGATGAATGAATAAACAAAATGTGGTCCGCACATCTAACGGGGAAACATTTGACCTTTAACAGGAAGGAAGTACTGACACACGCTACAGCATGGGTAAACTTTGGAGAACATTATGCTGAGTGAAGCAAGCCACTGACAAAAAAGACAAACGCTGCATTATTCCACTTATGTGAGGAACCTAGGAAGCCGATTCATAGAGGAAGCAGAAGGCCGGCTCCGGGGCTGGGGAAGCAAGGCAGGGGACTTGGTGTTCAATGGGAACAGACATTTGGGGGTACACAGTGAAGAGAACAGAAGGTCTAAATTCCAGACTGGGAATGAGACAAGGTGCTCCACTCATTCCTGTTTTGTTCCTAAGATGTCATCTTAAATTGCCAGGAAGGCCACCCTCAGGCTTCAGAGCAGAGACCCATGGAGGTGTGTGTGTGATCCCCTGGGGGAACCACAGCCAAAGTCCCTCGCCATCAGGATGTGCAAGCTCTCGCATGTCTGTTTAAAAACCAGGTTGTTCTATCTTATACTCAGTGGTCGGGTTTAAAGAAACAGAGTTGCCCGGGAAACACACGGGTGGGGGGGGGCAGGAGGTCACACCTCATGTCCCAATATAGGCCACAGCGTCTGATCTGTGAGGTCAGGTACAAGACAGAAACTTGAGTACCTGTGGGGCTGCCAGTGGTGTTTGAGGCGAGAACCAAGAAAGGAGAGGTTCTTACACAAAAGGATTGTTATAAGCGAGCAGGCAGGCAGGTATGTGTATCCCCACATACAAGGGCAGGGTGAACTCATCTGGGAACAGTGGCAGGCCACCAGCACCTCAGGTTCTGAAAGCACCCACAGCGCCCCTGAAAAGTTTGTGAATCCCACCAGAAAATCAATCTCTACTCCATTTTGATTAAAAGTGATTATACAGTTTGCTGGGCACAATGGCTCCTACCTATAATCCCAGCCCTTTGGGAGGCTGAGGCAGGAGGATCGCTGAGCCCAGGAGTTTGAGATCAGGGTGGGCAACATAGCAAGACCATGTCTCTACGAAGAACAGCTGGGTGTGGTGGTACACGCCTGCAGTCCCAGCTACTCGGGAGACTAAGGTGGAAGGATTGCCTGAGCCTAGGAGGTCAAGGCTGCAGTGAACCATGACTGTGCCACTGGACTCCCACCTGGGTGATGGAGTGAGACCTCAACGCTAAACGGAAGGAAGGGAGGGAGGGAAGGAGAAAGGAAGATGCAGCTTGATCCATCTTCATTAGATTTGACTTGGACCGACTTGTGGTTCTTTCCAAAACTCAAATGCACACTTAGAGAAAAAGCATCTATAATCCTGAAAAGACGATGCCATCTTTTTTTGTTTTTTGGGTTTTTTTTGAGTTGGAGTCTCACTCTGTCGCCCAGACGGGAGTGCAGTGTCTGCTCCTGGCCACCGCAGCCTCGACCTGCTGGGCTCCAGCGATCCTTCCGCCTCAGCCTTCCGAGTAGCTGGAACTACAGGTGCGTGCTACCACATCCAGCTAGTTTTTGATTTATTGTAGAGATGAGGTCTCGCCAAGTTGCCCGGGCGGGTCTTGAACCCACGGGCTCAGGCAATCCACTCACCTCGGCCTCCCAAAGTGCTGGGATGACAGACTGAGCCACCAAGCCCGGCCAATGATGCCATCTTAAATTGCCAGGAGGGCCACCCTCAGGCTTCAGAGTAGAGAGACCCATGGAAGTGGGTGTGTGATCCCCTGGGGGAACCACAGCCAAAGCCCTCACCATCAGGATGTGCAAGCTCTCGAATGTCTGTTTAACAATCAGAGGTTCCATCTTATACTCAGTGGTCGGGAAAGAAGCAAGTTTAAAAGAGTTGCCTGGGAACTGCGTGGGTGGGTGGGTATGGGTGGGAGGTCACCCTTCATGTCCCAATACAGGCCACAGGGTCTGATCTATGAGGTCACAGCCCTGCCAATAGGTGCCCTCAATGCCTGGGTAAGGCTGACCTCACAGAACCACCCATTCATCCACCAGATGTTACAGCCACTAGTCACTTTGTGATCTCCTCTGAGGACCCTCTCACAGTTCTAGCATACGTAGAAATAATCAAGTCGTGAATTTGCCCCGTAACTCAAAGAACAAAGGTCCTTCCCTGCAGGTTGGCCCCTCCTGCCCTCCTCAAAGCTGTTGCGTTCCTCTGTGCCCATCACCTGGCAAACCCAGCGGACTCTATAGGAGGCAGTGGTTTCTACCAGGGTTTCCCCAGTGTGGGCCCAGGAGTGCAGGCCATGTCCCGCCACGTGTCTGGAGGGAACAGCACGGTCACTCTCACCAGGCAAGGCCTCCTTTTACCCCGGCCCTGTGAGGTCTCGGCAGCGGCCTTCTCACCCGACCAGGGCAGGCATGCTCCTTCCCACAGGCTTCCCACAGGCTGACTCTGGGAGGGGGACACCACAGAGGTGGGCTGGGGTCAGCAGGGGTTGGACTGACTCTCTGCATCCTCAGACAACAACAGGGAGAGGGACCCGAGATCTGAGTGTGCCACAAAAACCCTAGTCCTGCATTCTCAAATCCAAACACAGAAACTGCACACCAAAAGAAAACATTTTAAAAACGCAAGTTGTTTTTTTTCTATCTTAACAGCTAGTTCCCGTATTGTTTATTACTCAGCTTGGGCTTAAGTAACAGTAGACAAATATAGAAACAGCCTCTTGTTTCACAGAGCCTTTGTACAAGTCCTCTGTCTTTTCCATTCACGACGGGGAAGCTTGCTGTTGGTACTGCAGCTAGAGGGAGCTTGGGTGACCCCAGACAAAGCAGGGTCAGTGGGGGGGGGACACACAGATATCGACCCCAAGAGGAGAGTGAAGCCAGGAAAAGGCAGGCCACATGTCTATCTGCCCCAGAGATGACTTGGGGTTCTATGTGCAGCAGTGAACCGCGAGGCTTTGAGACCCCAGACCTGGGGCTGAGCTGGTCTTCCAGGCCGTCTATGATATGTGGCCACACGGCAGCAGTGACAAAGCCTTGGGTGGGGTGGGGACTCTGCCCACGGTGGCCAAGAAGTGGGGGGGGGGACAGGCTATGGGCAGCAAGCTCTACACTACCCCTCATCAGGGGTCCCAGGAATCCAGCCTGCTGTCACTGGCCACTCAAGGCAACGGGGTGCCCTTCCCGTTTCCCCCTGGAGGTGCCCAGTCTCTGGCAGCAAAACACAGCTCCCCTAGGGCTGTTCCTTAGGGATTTGCCATGGGGGCCCCAGGAGCCCAGGTGGGTCCCAGCCTTCTCAGGGCAACTCAGAGGACTTGGCAAATAATCCCGAGACAAGGGGTTAAGATGAGCAAGGTGGTCACTTTCCCCGTGAAGCTGTTTATGGGAGCTCAAGCTCGCTGGTGTGCTCTGCACTGTCGCTTAGAATGGCTATGGATTCTGTTTCCCGGTCCACACACATGTGGAGCAGGCCAGACATGCCCTCACCAGGTCCTCCAGCCGGTGATGCAGTGGCCGCTATCTCAGGGGCTGCTTGAGCTCGAACAGGCCCGTCCCGCCCTTGACGACCTTCCCAACCACGAGGCAGGCTGAAGGGGACCTCAGGTCATCGTGGGATCCTGGAGAGACACAAGGGCACGTGTCAGGTGGTTGGGGGAGGAGGAGGAGGTGACGTGAGGGCTGGGGGGCCCGACACTGGAGTGGATGGGGCAGCTCAGAGACCCAGGACTCGAAATGGCTCCGAGTCTCTGCGCTGAGATTGCAAGGCAGCCCAGCCTCTGTGCTTGAGAGATCGTGGAAGAACCTTTCTCTGTTCCGTCAAAGCACAGAGGCGGGTTTCTGCCTGCTGCCTGGCCCTCTCCAGCTGCACCCGCCCCCCACCCCAACAGATTCCAACATCTCACGGTGTGCAAGGCACCAAGGAAAGGTGCCCCGTGGGACAGGCCTATCTGCCCAGAGCAGAATCAGGGAGGGAAGGCTGGGCACCTGCCCATGAACTGACCTAGCATGGTGGCCTGCTTCAGAAACTGGAAGCTGGTTTCGAATGTCATCTGCTGCAGAGGGGAGGAGTTTGACCGGATCCCGATGCGATTCAATGGCTTGTAGATGCCCTCGAAGCACATGTAATCAGCGACCAGGGAGAGGTGGCGAGGGTCCACTGCGATGCCTGTTACACGGGCCGCAGAGTCAGAAGAGACAAAGCAGGGGACAGGGCAGCAGCTGGGGACGCGCCCCTGGACACAAGCCAGGCTGCCTTTACGTCCATGCATGGGCTCGGGGGCGGACCCGAGTCTCCCTACCTGTCCACGCAGCTTAACCCTTCTACCTGGGGGTCTGGGCGCCCTCCCTAACCCCTGCATCCTGCTGCCCACTTCCCCCCAGCAGAACAGGCTCTAACTGTACGGTTTTCATTTGGGAACTGAAACCCCGGGGGTGGGTTGGGACCAAGTCATCAATCAGGAGCTTCCTCGGAGACCAGCGGGCGAGACCCCACGGAGAGGAACCTCTGTGACAGGAGACATCACCTCTCCACGGACCTGCAGAGGCCCCCGTAGGCATGCTCACTGCACCTACGCTTCAGGGCCTGACTCTCCAGTCTCCCCACTTGTGTCCAGGGGCCAAGGTGTCATCCATACGCTCTTACCATACACGGCAAACACATCCTTGATCTCCTTCTCAATCACGCGCAGTGCGGCCTCAATGCCATAGGTGCTGGCCATGGCGTGGATGTCGTTGGAATAAAGACGGCGCAGATCCAGGACCTGGGGAGGAGGGAGAGGCTCACTGAGAGGGCCTGGCCTGCCACTCCCGTCTGTCTGCAGAGCCTGCCCTGGCTGTGCTCCCTCCTCTCCTTGTGTCTGGCAGCTGAGCACGGCTCATGACAAAGTGGTTGAGAGGTAGCCCGGGATTAGCCAAAGGAATTGCCTAGGCTGAGCTGCTGACGGCACACTGGCCAAGGGCCGAGGTCTGTCTGGCTGCCATGATCAGAAAACAGAGATGAGTCGGGACGTGCTTTAGATTCAATAGGAACAAGTTCTTTCTGAGATAAACTGCTTTGGTAACAGAGAGACCCGTTTACTAGGCAAGACGCTTCCCTAGACAGGTGAGGAACACTTCCTCCGTAGTGACACTTTAAACACCTCTCCAGGGCACAAGGAGCAGGGACAGGTCAGGCACCAAGTACCTCAGGCTTCAACTGGGCTGTCTGGGAGGAGCCTCAGTGGCTCTGTGCTGCAGCTAGCAGGGGCACTGACCTGACAACGGTCACACTCTGCTGGAGATAAGTGGACACAGGCAGCCAGTCTGGCCCTTGTGTCAGTATATCCCACGAGTACAACACAAGTCACGCCCTACGGACATGGGAACCTGACCCTCAGCAGGTGCAAGCTCTGCCTGTCATCCTCTGGGAAGTGTTTGGCAACAGGCTCCTGGGATGCAAGGGACTTTGCAGGGCAGCTGCTGGGGAGGACGGAGTAGATGAGGCAGGGGCTTTGCCGGTTTAGTGTAGACTTGGCTGGGGGTTGGCGACAGGGGCCCAGTTCCTCAGCGCTCTGTGGGGAAAACCTTTATTCCAGAAGGTTCCGGGAGACTTGGAGAAGTAGGAGGGCTTGCAGAGAGAGCTCAGAGGCAAGGATGGACACTCTTATGAGCTGGTGGGAGAGCAGTGAGGGGCCCTGGCTAGTACCGGGCTTGGAGCGCTGGATCTGGGCACCTCTACCCCTAGGGCCCCCTTAACCGGATACAGTGGGCAGTATTCAGGCCAGTGATGCAGCAAATGGTTTCTTCCACCTCTACTTTGGGAAGGTTTTCATTTCAAGGGCAAAACTGCAGTCAAAGGAGCTTGAGAAACTCTGAGTTGGATAAAGTTCAGCAGGGTTCTTGAACCAGGCTAACGTGTGCCATGAACCCTGGGAGGCGGGCTAGGGCATACGCGCTTGGCTTGGTAAAGAAATGCGGCCTAGAAGCATGAATGGCCCAGGAAGGAGGCGAGCCTACGGATGGGAGGCGAGTCTCCCACCGGCCTGGTCCTGAGACTTCATGAGGCCATGTGTGGCTTTGTCCTAGGCCAGCAGACAACCAGGAGACAGGGATGCGTACCTCGGCGTGCTTGAACAGCTCTGGGAGATTGATGCCTTCTGTGTTCAACACAAGCTCCTTCGTGTTCCCGTCACTGGCTGTTTCATTCAGGAGGCAGCGGGTGATGCCCTTGGTCTCATAGACCACGGCACTGTGGGCCAAAGACACAGCCAGGGAGCTCATGTCAAAGTTAATCTTCATCAGAGGGAGCTTCACCGTTACCTGCAAGAGGAGGCAGAGCTGGGCCAGGGGAGACAGCCACCCCAGGCCCCACAGAGAGGGCAGAGGCCCCCTGGTCTGGCTGCCTGGGAGACAATGTCCAAGCTGCCTTGGCAACGCCAGGGCTGGGGAAGGTCGGCGAGTTGAGCTGGCAGATGGTCTGAACGCTGGGCGGCTGAACTGACCACTCAGAGTTGCCATCTCTAGTCACTACAGCTCGAGATGCAAACAGTGACACTGTGTTTCCACAGATGTTGGTGAGAGTGTCACGTCTGCTTAAGCATCGCCCTTAACATCCTTAATGGCCACAGAGACCAGTGCACATCGTTGGTGCATGCAATCCCATCAGCGACTCTTTTATACTGTTGCTTGGGAACCAAAGAACTGGATCAAAGGAAAGACAAAGAATAAACCCGTGTAGATGTCTAGACATCCAGACCATCCAGCTTTTAAGGGAACCATGGAATCCCTAGGCCAGCAGTCCCCAACCTTTTTGGCATTGGGGACCAGTTTCACGAAAGGTGATTTTCCCACGAACTGGGGTCAGGGGAGGGATGCTTTCGGGGTGATTCAAGGGCATTTACTGTGCACTTTTTTCCTATTATTATTACACTGTAATATATAACGAAATAATCATACAACTCACCATTTTAAAAAAAGAGGCATGGATGGAAGTGGCAAATAAAATAATGGGCGGGCCACACAGGCTACAATAAGTGTCAGATTCTGGCTTAAAGCCTGCCATCAGATGCAGCTGTACAATTGAAGTCCATCGACTCACTTGACGCTCATGGAGAGGGTTTTGATGAGTCTGTAAGCAACTGATTTATGATGGTCCCTGTGCAGTCAAGCCTCACTGCTCATGATAATCTGTATTTGCAGCCGCTCTCCAGCACTGGCATCACCGTCTGGGCTCCACCTCGGATCATCAGGCATTAGACTCTCATAAGAAAAGAGCAACCCAGTTCCCCCGCATGCGTGGTTCATAATAGGGTTCTTGCTCTTAGGAGAATCCAATGCCGCCGCTGATTTGACAGTTGACAGAAGGTGGAGCTCAGGTGGTAACACAAGTGCCAGGGAGTGGCCGTAAATACAGAAGAAGGTTCGCTTATTCACCTGCCACTCACCTCCTGCTGTGTGTCCTGGCTCCTAACAGGCTAGGGACCAATACCTACCTGTGGCCCTGGGGTTGAGGATCCCTGCCCTAGAGGATGGTGCCTGGCGCTGCATGTGTAGGAACTGAAGTATTCTTGCTTGTGGGCAGGAACGAAGCCCTGTACCGAGTATTAAATGAGGTTACGTCTTTGAAAGTACCTCTAGGGCCTGGCAGGTCAGACTCACATATATACTAGCCTTGAAAGATCAGAGAACTGGCTCACTGGGGGTTCGAAAATAATGTGTGTGGGTTGTGCTTTGGGGCAGAGGTTCTACAGTCATCATCAGATAATTATTATTTTTTTTGAGTTGGAGTCTCCCTCTGTTGCCCAGGCTGGAGTGCGTGGCACACTCATGGTCGCCCCAGTGTCAACCTGCTGGGCTCTGGCGATCCTTCCACCTCAGCCTTCCTAGTAGCTGGAACTACAGGCAGGTGCTACCATGTCCAGCTTACTTTTTGATATATTGTAGAAACGAGGTTTCACCAGGTTGCCCAGGCTGGTCTTGAATCCCTGGGCTCAGGCAATCCTCTCGCCTCGGTCTCCCAAAGTGCTGGGATGACAGGCCGAGCCACTGAGCCCGGCCCATCACCAGATTCTTGCTCTTTCTAATTCTGGGATTAGAAAGTGCAACCGACTCTCACAGGCCCGAGCAGAAGGCCCGAGAGTACCGAGAAGGCAGAAGGGAGAGTGGCTGCCCCCTCCTCGAAGGCGCTGGCCGGCTGGACCTGCCGCAGGCCCCGGCCTACATGGCCACACTGACCTGGCACCACAGGTTCTCCTCGGTGTCGTACTGGTATGCCTCTATGAAACGATGGATGTTGCACACAGCGCGGACCCGGCGCTCCACAGCCTCGGCCCCCTGGGGTTCCTGGCTCAGTTTCCGGGGTCGGGTCAGGAGGGCAGGCGAGGTGGGGTCTTCCTCGGTGCCTGAACCCACTTCTTCGTCTTGCTCTTGGGCCTCGTGGGCATCTTCGCCACGGCAGGCCCCCTCCTCCTGCACGTCCTCCTCCTCGCCCTCCTCCTCCTCCTCTTCCTCGCTCTCATAATCCACCTAGCAGGAAATGGAGAGCAGGCCGACGTTTGGGGCCTCACTGCCTACCTGGACTCCATCTGTGGGATGAAGACCCCCTAGGAAGCTTGGCTGGCCTGGGCCACCCCAGTCCCCCTTGCCCCGCTCTCTTGGCTCTTCTGCTCCAGACCGGGCGGCCCTCCTCCTTCCGCCCTTTGCCCTTCCCCGGGAATGTCACCCTCTGCTGCAGTGAGGCGCATTATCGTAAGACAGTGGGGGGTAGCCTGGGAGGGGGAGGGCAGTATTGTATTTCCACTGTAAACACAGGAGGTACCCCGACACCTCCTTCCTGAGGCCTCTCTAGGTCTCTAAGTCTGATTCAAGTCCAGGGACAGCCGGATCCAAAAGCCAGATCCCTGGGACAACCCCCTTCTCAGTCGAGAGATGTGCTAGGTGGACAAATCTTGCTTTGAGGTTCCTGGTGGTTCCCAGATTAACACAGAGGCATGGCCTGGGTGCCAGGGGATAAACCCTCCAGGATTTCAGAGAAGAAGGGGGTGACCACAGCCTCTTCACCGCAAACGCAAGGTCCCCTCACCTCCTCTTCCTGCTTCTCCTTGCGTTTGGCATCAGAGGCATCGGCATCCCCCTCCTCGGCTTCAGCGTCCACAATGTGGCCCTCCTCCTCCTCGTCCTCTCCTTCCTGCTCTCCCTGGGGTTTGGAGACAAGGAGAAAAAAGATCAGCTCCTATATCCAGTGCTCAGTGAAGACATCCACCCACTCACCCACCCCATCCACCCAGCCATCTA